AGATTGTGGTGTGAGCTACTTATAAGTAGTATATGACGTGAGTGTCAACGTAATGTCTGGCAGCATAATATGGGGGAAATATCAAGAAAGGAAGAGTTAGAAAACAATGGAATTTGTATGAAACGCATGAATAGTGACAATGGATTGATGTCTTGCAACAGGAACAGTCCAGTTTGATATGATGAACTGATATTTTGCAAATTAACGATTTACGATATGGTTTTCCGATTTTACTGAGTAACTCTAATTTTCGTTAAATACACTCCGGTTGCCCCACCTGTGTTCTGGTTCACTACAGTAACTCTATAAATATTCACATTTTTCTGTACATAAACTAACCTTGTAGTAAAGCGTTCATCTTGTAACGAATATCCCTTCTCTCGTGTTCAAGTCACTGTGTATATATTCAGTCAGAGGTTACTAGAAGCCAATACGAATTCAGATCTTGCGTTCATTTAGCAGATTTATCAATATTCTCTATAGCACTTTTTTTCTCTAAAATAATCGTCTTTCTAGTTATATGTAAATCACACAAAAGAGAAAATCTATTCTTTTGCTACTGAAAGAACAACAGTAAAATTAATTGAATAACAGGGAAAATCGTGCTTGATATACAGGATAATTGGAGAAATTGTGACCCCCAGGACTAATTTATAGGATTATCATAGTTTAGAATTTTATTGTATAATTATATATATATATATATATGTATATATATATATATATATATATATATATGTATATATATATATATATATATATATATATATATATATACATATATAGTCCTTTAACTATGATTTTCGGATTAACCCATTAACTATAGTTGTGTGATTTATTAGTCTCAACCTACGGATAATTTACATTTACAATCTCCCTTATTCACAGCCTCTTTTGGTTTGCTCATGTAGCAATGTATTTTCCCATTCTATGGTGCAATATGGCCTGACATATTTTGTATATAAAACTATGTCTGCTTGAAATATAACGAATTTTTTGGAGGCCGGCTTACGCACTTCTGAACTAAAAGGTAGGGTAGAAGGAAATCGACTATCTAGTCGTGAACCGATAAGAATTTGAAGCTTACTTGAGGTTTTGTATTTTGTCATCTGATATTCATCAACAGTTAGATGGACAACAAATTCATTTTAAGAATTATCAATAATGCCTCGTAAAATGTATTCATCGGTTCTTTTTATAAACTTAGAAGAAAAAAATCTATCAAAAAACTGACTGTACATATTTCCTTTAAAATTTTTATTGGATCATTGTTAAAATGTGAAAATTCGTTAGTCATAATTAAAATACACGTATGCACGTAAACACGTCACTTGATATGTCTGAACTATTGCGAGTTCATTCTAGTCAGTGAACAAGAGCGAGGATCGAGAATCCGGTGACACGACATGCTACTCTAATCCGAGTGTCCCAACCCCCATTGAGTGAAAGAAGAAGACTTGATATGAAGTAGAACCTGTATTCTACAAGCATTCAGAAAGTACGAGGTCCGAGTCCAGAAAAGAATGAGGATACCGGACTAAGGATCCGGATCCGGGTCCTGGTCACAAAACGTTACAGATAATGTATATTTATACATTTAGGTTGAATAGGAAACGGCATCAAAATCTATGACAGTGATAGCTAAGGCGACCAATAGGAAAAACATTTGACGACCAATAAGAAACAACATTGGAGTACGTGGCATTGATATCTAGGACGACCATAAAATTGACTAATAGGAATTAGCCAACAGGAATTAACCAACAATTCTCTTAGGATATTGGATGAATATCCTAACATAAAGTCTCATCATTTATATGTACGTACAATTTTATATTTTACGCATATAAACATTTGAAGTTTCTAAGTTCGAATTAAACAATGTGGTTAACCGACTTTCGTAGTGTTTCTAGTTGGTTGTTTAAGAATTGGGCAATCGAGAGTAAGGATTTTGAAAAGCTAAGCTTATAGAATGATTTTTATTGACAAAATATCAGCATGAATGGTAAGCCTTTTTTGACCTAATCGACTCGAGATATAACCCAACTACCTGGGATTGTCACCAGTTGATATCTGTCTCTACATTCTACTCATGTGTAGTTACAGGTTAGTAGTTCCTGTTTATATTTCATAAAATCTATCCATAAGCAAGTTAGTATTGAACAGTGAATTATTATCTCTTTAGTCGAATGCATTTCATCGTAATGAAGAAGTTCCTCCTTAAATCAGTTGTGTTTTAATCAAATTTCAATTAAAATAAAATTATTATTCTAACCACAGAAAAAAATCAGTGTCCAAGTAGACATTTCAAAATCGTTTGTTAATTTTACAAGTAGGTCAGTTAACAAACTAAGGATGACCTAATATCTGATTAATAGTCAATCGGTTACAACATAGAACTTGGTACATACGTTCTTAAGTTCATGTTGCCTTACCACATCACCAGAGAGATTCAATTGTCACTTCAAATTCCATAGTAGTAGAGGTAGTAGAAGTATTGGCGGTAATGGAGAAGATTAAGGTTGGAAGAACTTATTCAAGAAGTATAATCAAGTAAAATAAATTTAAAAGAGAAAGATAAAGGTGATGAGGAATTCGGAAGATTAGAATTTGAGAGAACACAAATAGTGGATACACCTGCACCACTGCAAACGATTTTGAGCCATTTCGTTCAAGGTCTATAACCATCGGTTACTATCGTCTAGCAGACCACAACCAAGTAGTTGACATCTACCAACATGACTCAGTCCACTTGTCAGTGA